AATAGAAAAAATTTGAATATATATACATACATATATATTACTTTAGACTGACATTGCTTCATTTTTTATACAAGATTTTGCATTTATTATTTTTGTGCATTAAGATTGTGCCTAAAGGCTTTCTTAATTTAGCAAACAATATAGAACACAATGCAAATAGCTTTGCACTGTGTTCTAAATTCTTTGCTAAATTAAAATAATGTCAATAAATTTTGTTTTATATTTTTCAGTTGTAAAAATATAAAACATTCTTTTATTCAGTTGTAACATAATCACTGGTAATATATATTTAATGATAACAGATGTATAATATTAGGCTCGAAGAAGTTATTAGTGTAAATGGTTATAGGTGACTTAAAATTGTTGTCATATGAAAGAAATAGATCTAGGCGTGATAAAATTAATTGTCCGTTTCAAGCGGTGTTGATGTCTATTATTTGATTTTACATTAGACACTTTAAAATATGAATTTTAAAGTATGAATTTTACTATTTTTAATATTTTAATTTTAAAGTATGAATTTTACTATTTATAGTAACAGTAACAATTTTGAATGATTTTAATTTTTTTTTTTGTAATCTTAAACATAATTGTGTTCATTTTTTTTTAGTTGTCTTTGCCATCACTTGATTATTTTGCTTACTGTTGAAACATGGTTTTTATTTTGTAAATTTAAAATGATGTGAAATTTACAATATAAATCATTTGTCAACAGTTAGAGAGAAGCTGGAAATTAATTAAGAAATGCTGGAAATTAACTTTTAGTTAAGGTAAAAATAATTTTGTTTATTGGAAGCATAATAATACCAGTTACTGTTATTTATTGCATGACTTTTTTACTTTTTTTAACATGGTGTTTTTAAAACACTTCCTCTCTCTCTTAGATGAAACTTAAATAAGAATTAGTATTGAGAATTGTAGAGAGAGAATTGATTAAACTCTGTAAATACTGAGCTCTGATTAAACTCTGTAATTACTAAGCTCTTGCGTATTTTTTAATACTGCAATTGATAATTTGCTATTTAAAGATATAATTCTTTAAATTGTCCCTTGGTTGTTCAAATATTGTATTAAATAAAATCTTTTTAGTTTCAAGTATTTTCTCTTAGGGATCGTCTATATATCACGTAACGCGAAATTAAACTTAGACAAATGTTTAAAGTGTGTCTCTCTTATGGTCAACTAAATGCTGCATTTTCAAGAACTATAGCATTTAATAGTTTGTTTTTCAAAATTGATAAACATCTTATTCAAGGTATAGTAGTTAAAAAAATGTATCATAAATATTGTTATATTTTTTAAAGTTCTTAATTTATAGTCTTGAGATTTTCATTTCGAAAATTTACTGGTAAAGGTTGTGAGCACATTTTGTATGTATAACTTTATTTATCATTATTTATTTTTTTTTCATAGTTTTTGGTAAATATATCTATCATTCAATAGTTGTAAAATGTATTTATACGTGTTGCATAAAGTCATATTTGTTTATAGTTATATATATGTTTAAATTATAAAAGCCAAAGCAACAATTTATATCTTAGTTTGATTTTTATTTTAGTATTGTTAATGCTTTGGTACTTCGAAACAGGTTTTATAGTTACATTTTCAATAAATCTTTAACTGCAATTTCAAAATAGGTTACTATAAATAGGTAAATCGATTTTAGGTATTTGTGTGATGATTTCTGTAGGTTTATTTTTTTAGTAATTATGATATCATAATTTCATTACTTTTTTATTTTAGAATTACGTTATGACGCATTTATAAGATTTATAAAATAAAAAAACCTGATTTCTTTTTATTGTAAATTTTTGTTAGTTAAAAAGATATAAATATATGCTATTAGTTAATTTTATATTTTATCTATTTTATGCCTAATAATTTGTTATACGTATTTTAAGGGGATCTTTGTAAATGGGGAGGTCGTAACTAAAAACCTTTAAAAATATGGAGAATATTGTAGTTTTGCGCATTACTATCGAGTTACTTAAGTTTTATTTATGTGCTTAACTAATTAGTTAGCTTAGTCTGTATTTGCAACACTTTTGAGGAAAGAAAGAAAACATTCTTATATAAGTAGATCATTGTTTTACATTTTATTATTTTATTTTATTCACCTGGCCACCATTAAAGCAAAGAGAGGGAAGGAACCTCTTTATTAGAGTCAAAATATTTAGGAAAATTAAATTACGAGTTAGAAAAAGAATTTTTAGTAAATGGTGGCAAATTACCGTTTACTAAAAATTTAATGAAATAAAGAGGCCAAACAAATAATATAGAAATGGTCTTTGTTGAACAGACTTAACAAGACCCGGGTCGGGTCATCTTGGTACACAAATTTTTATGTCTACTTATCTCTTATAATTTTTATTTTAGTTTTTCATATGATGCATTAATGTATTAAAAAATTTATTATACCCATGTTTGATCGTAAATTAAATTTTTTTTGTTTGAAAGGTATTTGTACTCAATTGCGTAGTTATAATAAACTTTGTTATTTTTTATAAATTTATTTAAACGTGTGCATTTAACATTTTTAAGTTAACAATTTTCTTTTCTAAAGAACAATTAATCAAGGGGATATCAAAAAGTTGATAACTCCTGTATAATATAAGTTAACTTCATTTTAATCTTAATGGTTCGTGTTATAAAAATTATTACAAGGATTTAGTTGACACTTTCGTCAATTTAAAGCATGACGAAGTGTTATTATTTTGTGTCAGTAACTAAAAACGTATTGTGTTAAACTTAGGAAGGTCGATGAAAATGGTTCTGCCATACACTGTTATGACCTATGCCATTTGTAAATTACTTAAATAATGTTAAGTAGTATTTGTAAATGTTAAGTAGTAGTTGGTAAATTATTTTACCTCCTCATAATTTTTATGGTAATTTTACTGATGGATTAATTTTTTCAAGCTGAAGGCGATTTTCTAAAAGGGTATTAGTTAAGGTTTTGCAACATTAAATTGTGAAAAAGAGCCACTATAAATTAATTTTGTAACAAACCGACCAAAATCCGTATTACGGATTTTGGTCGGTTTATTACAAAATTAATTTATATTCTAACATTATATATATATAATGTTAGAATATATATATAATATTAGAATATATATATTATATATATTCTAATATTATACATATATATATATATATATATATATATATATATATATATATATATATATATATATATATATATATATATATATATATATATATATATATATATATATATATATATGTATATATATATATATGTATATATATATATATATATATATATATATTCTAATATTATATATATATATGTATATATATATATATATATATATATATATATATATATATATATATATATATATGCATTCAGATGTAACAGAAGCACGTGCAAAAGCAGAGCAACAACAGTTCGATTTCTTAAATTTTAGGTCTCCTACACTGATTGCCATCCCACACTGATTATTTAAAATGTTACGATAACAAATACCAGTTCTAATATCTGAAAGTTAAATCAAAATTATTAACAAGAATATATATATATATATATATATATATATATATATATATATATATATATATATATATATATATATATATATATATATATATATATATATATATATATATATATATATATATATATATATATATATATTCTTTGAAAAAATTCTTTAAAAAAATTCTTTAAAATCATAGGAGAATGAGAACAAGAAAACCTTAAATGTTAGCCCCCCTACCGCGAAACGTGATAACAACAAGTTGATGAAATATTTTTTGTGCTATTTTTAACAGGACTTAAATTTATCGATAAGTTTTGAATTTCATAGTATAATATTTTAGTGTTCATAAAATATAACCATATAAAGTTTAAACCCCCTCAACTTGATGGGTTGCTAACTTTATATGGTCATAGTTTTTGAACACAAAAATATTTTACTATAAAATTTAAAATTTATCAATGAATTAAAGTCTAGTTGAAAATAGTACAAAAAATGTTTAATTAACTTCATGCTCTCACGTTTCGGGCAGGAGGGGGGCTAAGATTTTAGGGTTTCTTGTTCCCATTCTCCTTTCACAATAATTTTTTTTTTCAAGAACCTTTTTGTCATACATATGAACCTAAAAAAATTTAAAATATTCTTGCTGTTTATAAGTTGGTTATTTTAACCATTTAAAAACCCTCATACGCCACTTTATTATATATATGTATATATATATATATATATATATATATATATATATATATATATATATATATATATATATATATATTATATATATATATATATATATATATATATATATATATATATATATATATATATATATATATATATATATATATTTATATATTATTTAATCAGTAACTGCTTAAATTTTCACTCTACGTCATCCATCAAAAAAAAAGAGACTATTCAAATGCAAAAACAGTCGATGTAAAATCTGCCGGTTAGAGTAAAATCGGGTCAAACCGATCACCGAACAATAAAAATCAAGTAACTTTATTATTTAAAAAAATTTTTAAACTATTTTTTTAAATAAGATAGAAAATACCTACAAGAACATAATTTATTAATTTTTTTTTATTGTTTTTGAAAATATGAAAACTAAAAGAAAAAAAAAATCGCTTTTGGCAGAAAGTCTGTTAAAACCGATCAATATAAAATATATTTAATAAATTTACCATCTTATATATGTAAATGTATATATTTTTATATATTTTTAACATAGCCTACAGAAATATGCTAAATATTTTTATATAGCATTTAGATATAATAAAAGATTTAAGGGGTACATTTTTTACAACAAAAAAATCTAAACCCATTACAAAATTTTTTTGGCAATTATGTTTTGCTGCAGAGCCAAGTATTAAAATTACCGCTCTCATGCACCTGTTTGCGCAACGTAGGAAAATTTTCTTTATCTAAGTTTTTGCATTTTGTGTCTTTGTAACATTTAGTAAGAACTGCCTTCCACACTTGCTTAACATAGCATTAGACACCTCTGTCCAGTGGCTGAAGAATGTGAGATGAGTGGGATGGTAAACAAATCAAAATTATATTGTTTTCCCGACTTAGCAATACAGCTGCTAAACTGACGTGAGACGTATGTCCATCAAGATGTAAAATATAAGTACCACTAACAGCTTGACATTCTGGTATATACACCTCCTTCAACCATTCAGTAAATGTGCTATGCTCCATCCAACCAGATTTAGAAATTGAATATTTGGTACCATTCGGACCACCTAAAGCCCACTCAGCTCTAAAGTTTCGTTTTGCTTTGTATACCACAAATGGTGGTGTAAATTACCCATCAGCATTACAGCAATTGTTCACTGTATAATGGATTTTTTCACTGTTACCATTGAGTTTCAAAACACGCTTTGCACCTTTTCGACATACTTTCGTTGCTTTGCCTTGATCACAACAGAAACCCATTTTATCGCAATTCCAAATATGACAACCAGAAGTTATGCCAGAGAATTGATATTGTTTAGTGACAACTTTAAAATAATTATCAATTATTTCTTGCCTACAAAGCGGCTCTTGCAGGTGAGTTTTTCTTGTTAAAATTTCTTTAGACCATCGGTTTATAAATGCATAAAACTAGTCTTTGCCAGGCCTACCGTTTTTAAATAGGCCTTATTGATTTGTACAAAAAAGGTAACTGCATACGAAGTCCATATCATCATTTCGTGTTAAACCATAACCTCAATCATATAGGAACTTAAACGCATGCACCATAATTGACTCTGTATGCAGAGAGAGTACGGTTGTTGATCCTGATCCCTTGAAGCTAGCTTTGTTGTTGTTCTTGCGACCTATTAGAGTTAAGAATGGAAAGCCATAATTGAATGCAGCTTTTCTGATTGAAGTATTTTTTTTCTTTTATATCATTTAACGCAGCTTCTATATCTTCTTCATTGTATGACTTTTTACCTGTTGTCATCTTGAAAATGAATAATTAATAAATATCATTGAGTCATTTTTGTAAACTAACTTTATATTGGAAGAACCCGGAATTAACACGCGAGAAAATTCAATAATTTAATTCACCTAGGTATCTAATTTAAAAATTCACATACCACTTAATAAAAGAATTTAAAGTATATATGTGAATGATTGGTTTTACCAGAAAAAATTTAGTATTAATTTTTCTTACTTTTTTATCTAATTTTCAACTAAAAAACGAAAAAAAATTATGTAATCGGTATTAAAATTAAATTTTCTACAAGACAGAGGTAAAATTATTTTTAAACGAATTATGGTTCCGAAACTATTACGATAGAAAATAAATGAAAAAAAAGCAAACTTTTAAGACTCTCTTTTAAACTTTTATAAAAATAAAATGACTAAAAAATGATATGGATTTTATTTTGACACATTTGAACAGAGGAGATGATTCTCTTTCTTCTGGTGTATTTATTTTTTTAATTTTCCTATCAGCTCCGGTTTTATTTAAATTTTTTGATCAGTGATCGAAAAAATAGTATGATAAGTTTGACCCGCTTTTTCTCTATATTTACAAGATATAAATAAGTTTGAGACATCCAATGATACTATTTAGAACATTAACAAGTTAATTTTATTTTGTCAATTTGCACACATTTTACAATGTTACCCTTAAGATCTAATATATATATATATATATATATATATATATATATATATATATATATATATATATATATATATATATATATATATATATATATATATATATATATATATATATATATATATATATATATATATATATATATATATATATATATATATATATATATATATAAATATATATATATATATATATATATATATATATATATATATATATATATATATATATATATATATATATATATATATATATATATATATATATATATATATATATATATATATATATATATATATATATATATATATATATATATATATATATATATATATACAATCTGACAGGGAAAAAAAGAAGCCTTATCATCAGAGGCGTTATCTGTCAGGACAAGAAGATGTCTTATAGTCAAGCTCCTTCGTGAAATAGAGAAAAATATAACTATACAAGTTCTGATAATATACAAAAGAGTGAATCTAAAATTATAAAAAGAAATAAAA